GGCGGCCGCCAGCTGCGACGCGCAGGGCGCGGGGGAGCCGCGCGCGGAGAAGAAGCCGCTCAAGCCCTGCTGCGCCTGCCCGGAGACCAAGAAGGCCCGCGATGTCTGGTGAGCTGGCCGACCTCCCCACCCGGGTTGGAGCGGGGGGTGGCTTTTAATATTATTATTTTGCTTTACGGGTGGCGCAGGTATTTTCCGTTAAGTGACTTGATAGCAGACACTGTTTTTCCTCACAGCGAGGTGCGAACATCTAGTTATGCGACAGAAAAGGCAGGGCCTTCTCAGGAAAGGGTGACGGGGAGGAAGCCGTGGGTCAGGTGGCACTTTCCTGAGCAGCCAGCACCTTCGGTCATGCGTACTGTGATGAGAGGTGACGAGGGAAAAATATATCATTTTAGTTGTTCACGTCGCGGTAGCTTTTCTTGAGAGAGAGGATAGTGGTAGATGAGGCTCGATGGGCCCTGTGACCTGCGTGCTGCAGCATGATGGAGTCCCTGTCACAGGGGACGTGACGCGCTCTGCAAGCAAATGGCAGTGTGGGATCTCCTGTGCAGGGCTTGGCAGGCTTCACTGCTAACTGAATGTGTGTTAGACCCTTGAAAATATGAGTTACACAAAAAATCAGTTGATGAAGCCTATTTCCTTCCTCCCAGCATGATTTGAAACTGGCTGCTGACGAGATCTGCGTGCTGGATGTAGCAAGGTGGCAGTTGCCTGTTATGTAATAAATCCAAGTCTAGACTTGCTCTGCATATATGCTGTCTTTTTGTTAGTAATTCTCTTATTGATCTAACTGGAGTTCTAAGAGTGTTTTGCTACAGGTTTGGACACCCTGTTGAGACGGTAATCTTTTTTTAACTGTTGCCCTTGACAAGATAGGAAAAAGGATGATATCTGGAGCCCAATAGGATCTTCTGGTCACTTCCAACAGCTTTTAAGTTTTGTGCCTTTGACTAATAATAACATTTTATTATTGAATCCTGGAAATATTTTTGTTTTGCAGCATTGTTGAGAAGGGTGAAGAAAACTGTGGGCACCTTATTGAAGCTCACAAAGAGTGCATGAGAGCTCTAGGCTTCAAGATATGAGTGAGATGAGTGGGACTGAATGTGGTAAGTGTATGGACTTCAGGAATACGCTCATTACTTGATCTCTGCTTCTGAAGATCCTTGGCATCTGAGTGGATGCTGCCGGAAAACCTAGAGTACCGTTCGTGGTGGGAAAGACATCTTAAGAGGGGAGACATCTTCTCAGAAATAAGAGTATGAATCTGCCACTGCTTAACAAATATGACTTCAGTTTAGATTGGTCGTGTTGGTTTGTTTTGAAACATAAAAGCTAAAAAAGGAAAGAGAAGAAAATCTTTTCTTTCCCTCACTGGAAATGTGCATCTCGCATTATGTACTCCTGGTGTTCAGAAAGAAATTCTGGAAGCCTGTTTAGGAGCAAACTCGAGCTGTTGGTATACAGCACTTGGATGCCTTGGGAATGCTGTACTGTCCCTTGATACCCTGTAGAAATCCATGTTTATGAAGCTGTTTGTCTCCTCTCTTTCAGGTGATGTCTCCGTTGTGACTGATGTTCTGGAAAGCTGAAAAGTTTTATATTATTTCGGCAAGCCATTTTGAAGGACGGAACATGAATAAAGAATCTATTTATAAGGAATATCTAATGTTATACCCTATATCACATCTTTGGCTTTTCCACTCTTAGTTCTTGACTGCTGATATAGAAGATGTATTTTTTTCCGCCTAATAAAAATCTAAAAATGACCAGTCTTTCTGATCTGTGTTTCTTTTAAAGAATGAAATGGCAATGTCCTGCTCATTCAAAGAGTAAGCCCTAGGAAGGGAGAGAATGAGAAAAGCTTTCTTCACTGCAGGGAGAATAGAGATCACTGACCTTTGTGATTGAACAGATGGGTCTTCGGTGAGTTTTCCTTCTGATGCAAATTGAGAAATCATATTGGAGGTGTTGTAATTAAAAAGCGTGGCACTGTGACTTGGATGTAACTGTATTTCTACAAAGATAACTTTACTCTTAGGAATAGAAGCTGTCTTAGTGTCAAAAATGGATTTACTTTGCCTTACTCTTACTTGAAATGATACTAATAGCACAATTTCACACCAGGTTTCAAGCTTCATTCTTTATAGTGGAAAGCCAAGAACTTCCTGTGTTAAGCTCAAGTTCTTTTCAAATGAAGGGGAGTAGAAGAATGTAGATGTCTCTTCGTGCAACTCACTTCTCTAAGAGCAATTTTGATGCCATTTTTTCTTGTGTTGCTCTTGTGCTTGCAGCATATGGGATTTTGTTTTTTGCCTTTTTCCTTGCATATAGGATTTGAGAGGAAGAAGCTGGTGGTGGCTTCTGCTGCCTTTTTATGATCAGTGAAAAGTGCCACTGGTGGGGTTTATTGTGGAAGTGTGGCTCTGCTTCATGCTATGTCTCTAAGGCTTTTAAGGTTCATTCTTTGCCGATTGACTTTTAAGATGGTGTCTTAAACAAGATGGTGTCAGGGATTGAAGCTAGTGAAGAGGCTGGAGTACAGACCTCATGAAGAGTGGCTGAGGGAGCTGGGGTTATTTAGTCTGGAGAGGAGGAGGCTCAGGGAAGACCTTATCATTCTTCACAACTACCTGAAAGGAGGCTGCAGTGAGACAGGGGTCAGTCTCTCCTCCAGGATAAGAGGAAATGGCCTAAAGTTGTGCCAGAAGAGATTCAGGTTAGATATTAGGAAGAATTTCTATGCAAAAAGAGTGGTGGAGCCTTGGAACAGACTGCCCAAGGAAGTGGTGGAATCAATGTCCCTGGCAGCGTCAAGGAATGTGTAGATGAGGCACTTGGGACATGGTTTAACAGGTATGGTGGTGATGGGTTTGCGGTTGGACTTGGTGATCCTGAAGGTCATTTCCAACCATTATGATTCTATGATTACATCCTTTCCTCCTACAGACTTTTCAGAAGTTGGAGGTGTGGGCTTTTGATCCCATTGCAAGGACGGGTGCTGTCGTGATCCTTACTTCACCTGCCAGGGTTGCACGTTTGGAGTCAGGCAAGGGCAGGGCATGCATGGTGACGCTCACTGCTGCCTCTGCCGAGGCTTGCCAGGTGTGTGACGAGGGCCTCAGTCTCTGCTTCTGAGATTTTCTGTGAAGGTCCTGAGGAAATGTGCACCAGCATTCTTGTACTGAACAGCAGTGTGAGACTTTACTCTGTGCTGCTCGTCTATGCTGCGATACTGAGGTGGGAATTGTGCCCTTTCTGGCTTGTTGCCTGAGAGAATGGACACTGGTGTGTTGCTATCTCTTTTATTTATTTAAAACAAAGCAAACAGAAAAGAAATGTGATTTTGTAGTTGATTGGGAACAGCTCCATACTCTTAGCAGGACCCCACATCCTTAGCATTTGCTGTCTTGGCATTGAAAACTTGGACTGGACTGTTGTTCAACCTAGCAGTGTTAGAGCTTTTGAGGTGAAGAGGATGTTGAGAGGCAGAAAGGCAGAAGAGCACTGGCCTCAGGGCAGCCCATCTGCTAGGTGTGAGACGGGAAGTTGTGCTGCAAAGATCAGGGGAGAGGGTGGCAATGGTCAAGTGACAGGGGAGTTAGTTAAATGAGGATGAGTAAAGAAAAAGCATCCCTATACAAATAAACATAAATTCTTTAAGCCTAATAGGATATCCAGCCCTACATTAAGGTAAGATCATGGTAGATATTTTAGAAACTCTTTAGAAGAAAGGTGGATCAGTGGAATGCTGTGATACCCAGTGTACAGTAGGTACTGGAGAGATACTGGGCAGCTACAAACTTAAAAACAGCAGGAAAAAAAAAAACAGTGAAATTAGATTACGGTTGAGACTTTGATACTACAGAATTCCTACTGTAGGAATACTAGTGCATTCAAGGTCTAGTTTGTTTTTTATTTGCTCCATGTTACTGCTTACCTGATGAGGCTGGTGACAAATTCTATCTTGCGCAGGGTGGTCAAAGACGCTACGAATGCATGAAATGCATCAGTAGCAGGAAACTTGACTAAACTGTGCAGCAGTAGTTCACCTAAGGAGAGGAGATGTCATTTTGTCCTTTTCTTTCTCTCCATGAACATTTGGAGCAGGCTTTAGACCTCTCCCAATCACTGTAAAGCCAGTATGACTTACTCTGAATCTGCAAATTTCATTAGTGTGTGAGTAACAGCTGAATGCGGTTCCCTTCATTTTGGATTTTTAGTTCTAACCAGTAATGCACTGTATAACAAATTGGAAAGGAAGTGTTATTATGACCTCTCTCACTTCAAGCCATCAGGATCTTAGTGTCCTCAATGCAGGTTATCACGCTAGTTTTCACCTTTGGTATCAGTAATGACCTTGCAGACTTCCTGATGGTGCTCAAAATAACCAGTCATGTAGTTACTGTGGGATCTAGGACTGCTAATCTCCAGGTACCTGGCTGTTCTCAGGGATATAGGTTAATGCCAAGTATGCCAATTGACTTGCCAAGCACAAGGCAGGCCATGCCTGGATGGCATCAGTGCATGCAACTTAATATTAAGTGCCACTGGCAGAATTCATTATATATGTGAAGCTTAATACAGTGGGAAACCTCACAGAAAGACTTTTTTTTTTTTTTTTTTTAAAAAAAAGGAAAGATCATTCATATGGAGGATAAGTTAAACTAGTGCAGTAGAGTAACTGTTTATGCACTATTTCAATGCTGAAGTCCTTAGATTTCCTTTTGTTTTCATGGGCTCATTTTGTTGCAATGCCTATATGTCTCTTTTTTTTCTTCTTTTTTAATCTTTTTTCTTTTTTCTCTTCTTTCTCCAGTGAAGTCTTTTAAAGCTGCTCAAGTGTTTTGTACTTGCTCTCTTGAGCCCAAATGCCCAAATTTTTTGACTCCTGCTATCATCCCTTCTAATATTTATGTGGCTTCCTTTGAGTTGGTGCTAGCCTATGTGCTCTCATTCCAGGTGAAGCCCTGCAACCCTCTGGATGGAAGGCATGTATTCTAATCCTAGCCGAGTGAGTTAGGATTAGAAATAACTCATCTGGAAATTCAGGAAGATCTTTGAATTCTTGCTGTATGGAAACCTCAATCTGCTACTTAATGAAGATGGTCTGTGTGGCCACTGTACTCTCAAGGGATAAAGTAAGATCCTTGAGGATCCTTGATCCTGAGCCTTGGTAGTTCCTACATTATTTCCGTAAATAAAGTGGACCTCAACTAATCACTGATATGTACTGGGTGGTCTACTTTTCGAAAAGCTGTGATGTTTTCTGCCAACATCTCAGTCAGCCCCAGTAGCAAAGCTGTGTGGTTATAATGAGAGCTTTGTACTGTTACTGCTGTGCGACTAAAGCCTTCTGTCCATCTTCCTCATTGAAAGGAATTACTCAGCATATCTGAAGGCTGGGATTAGTGGATCATAAAGTGCCTTTCTATACGCTGCCAACTGACCAGTGAGCCTCCTGCTCCTGGGAACATGCGGGCAGGCACCACCACCTACTGCTCCACTCTTTGGTCTACTTGCTAATGAACAATTTGTTAATCTTTACAGTTTATAACCTTGAGACAATGGCTGGGCAAGATCCCAAAAGGTGCTTCGGGATTTCCTTAATACAGCCAAAGCTCTGCTCCTCACAGGTCACTTACCAGACACCTCCACCATGGCTGACACAGATTGATACTTGAAGCAACCACAACAATTTTAGCTCTCCTACACATTTAGGGCTTTCCATTCTGTATCTTCAGTATTTCAGAGGCTTTGAAATATGATTAGTTATTATTTTATTATCTTCCTGACTTCCTTTCTTCCTCCTGGCCTATGCTTGAACTAATATCAAGAATCAGAGGGCATAAATGAAAATAAAGGAAATCTCACTCTGAAACATACTACATGCAATTTTAAAGACTGCAATTACTGATACTGCTGTTCTTTTCTCAGTAAAATGTATTCTGGACGGTAAGCACTTTCTCTGTCCCACTGAATTGTTAATGTGTTTCCAACTATCTGCTAGCTCATGAATTGCCCAAATTGAGCAGTGAAATTAGTAAAATATTTTGTCACTTCTCTGTTATCTCAGAAGACTTTGGATAGTACAGAAAATGGGGGAGAAACTATGGCCTGAG